TCCAGGATGTATTTTTTTGCATCAAAGAAGTAGCTCTTGGCAAGGGGCTCACTCCTCTGACAAGGAAAGTCTTTAGCCAAGCCCTGATTGTTATAGACTGCGCAGGGTGAGACACGCCAGCAAACTTAAAGTTAAATATGAAAGAAAAAGGAAACCAAAACCATTACTGGCCCAAATAAACATCTGTCTGTGATTAAACTGGATGCACAGATATATTCTGCTTGCCTTTTTTTGTTGTTGTTTTGCTTTTTTAATGGATTTATGTTTCTGCAACACGACAGGGGGATGAAAAAGGCTCCCTGGTGCTGCTGGGTCAGACCTGAGCTGCAGCCCCCAGCCCACATTGTTGCCACCCCAGCCTGGCACCGGTGGCTGTGGTGGGAACTTGGCACCACGAGGTGCCGAAGCCAGAGGCCATCACCACAACGTTGCAAAACCAACATTTCACCCCCAGAAGAATTTGCTGCCCCATTAATGAGAAAAATATCTTTTTTTTTTTCTTTCCCTTTTAGCAGGTAATTTCACAATCTCTCCCCCAGCCTGGAAAGGGCAATGTTTGCCCAGTTTCCACACATATCCGCCTTACATATTTAATAGGCTTCTTTTTTTTTCCTACTCCTAACACACAGGATCTTCATAAATTTCCTTGTTAGCATAAATCCACGCAGCCTGTTATTTCTAGGGGGAGAGGAAGAGAGATGTTCACTTTCTCCATTCAGTGGGTTTTCAAATATGCTTCCTGAAGTTCATCCTGAACTCTGCTGGAAGCAGAAGAACCCCCCAGCTCCCACACTGGCTGTGGCATCAGCAGGGCTGAGTCACCACCCAGGGTGGATGGACAGGCTCCTCCCTCCCCCTCCTCAAACCCTGCTCCCCTAACCCCTCACACCCAGTCCCACCACCACCCCACAAGCGACTTGTCCACCACCCAAGCCCTGAAACGAAGCCAATCTCATTTAAATCAGCTCCAGCCCGTTCAGTCTCTGTTTATCCTCTCCCTGTTAATCCACAGTTATCCTCCACCAGCTCCGGAGGGGAGAACACAGGGTCAGTCACTGAGCAGACCCAACTCTACGCTCAGCCTGACACCTTCTCAGCTCAGAGGTGCTCACAGTAGACTCCACAGGCACCCCCACTTTTGGGTATGGCTCCCACTGCTGCAGAGCGTGGAGAGGGACTCATCACTGCTCCAGCAAACCACCCACTCACAACATCCTCCTTAGGATGCCCATTCCCAGCTACAGAGGGGTTCAACAGAGCTGGAACTCTCCAAGAGTTTGAGCACATGAAAAGTGATTTGTTTTCAAAATAAAAGAAAAAAATATTTTGATAAAAATGCAAAGCAGCACCTTCCTTGGCTTCTTGTTGCTGCTGCAACCCCTCTCAGCAGCCCCTGCTGTCCCCACACAGGTTCTGAGGAAACATAGCTGTCCTAAGAGCTTGGCACTGACTGCTGCAGGCACTGTTTTCACTAAGTATCTCCAGTGGGGACACTCAGCTGGTGCAAGACCTCTGCACGGTGCCCAGAGACTGCTGCAGGGCTGCAGTGAGCTGCACCATCACTACCTGTCTGCTCCTACAGCTAACTACTCATCCTCATTTATTATTGCCCCACAGAAAACAGATGTCCCATCCTCTCTGGAGGATGGACAAGCTTCTCCAGACCTGCAGCAGACGCACCAGTGATGGTCAAGGACCTGTGAGAGGCTCCCAAGCAGCACCACCACCTACCTGTGCTCAACCCTTCCCCTCCTTCACGGTCCTTAGGACCTCTAGAATTTAATGCCACCACTGATGAGAACTCTGGCCACTACTGTTAGGAATTTATGATGCTTTTTCAGCCAGAAAGACAGACCAATGTAGTGTGCTGTGCAAGGAGAGAGCCTGGGAGCGAGGCTATTTCATGGTCTTTAAGGCAAAGTCCTTCCCAGGGAAGGTGAGGGGGAGCCCCGTGGGATTTAGGGGAGGGCAGGGAATCCCAGAGCCCGTGGCCTACACCATCTGCTCCAGCACGTCCCCACCGTACTGAACCAGTTCCTGCAGCAGCAGCACAGCCCTCTACAAGCCTGGCAAGTCTAACGGGTACAGCGGCTTCCTGGCATGTGGCAGAGGAGCCAAGTCTGAGGGGAAGGGAAAAAAAAAAAAAAATTACTACAAATGTTCCACCAATTATGAGTCACGGGGCTGAGCTTTTGTTTCTGCCTTGCTGGATTTTGCCCTTTCCCTGGTATTTCCCCAGCTCCGTCCAGAGGAGCCGCAGGGACGTCGACCCTGGGCAAGGCTCTGCCAGCACCCAGGGGACAGGCACAGCCCTGGCCAAGGGAACCACCTGGGCCCAAAATACAACTCCCAAAGCAGCAGATTTCCTCACCTCGGCTCCCCAGGCAGACAGAGCTGCAGAAATCAATCTAATGGGGGAAAGATGGAGCCTCTCTTCATATTCCCTGAAGCCTGAATGTGACACTGCTTGAGCTCAGAAGATGGAAACCTGGGGATCAAACATCTCCAAGTGCCTTTTCCCACTGACCAAGATCTTCCCGAGCCATCGTACCTCACTGAGAAAACAGGAGCATCCCTAACACAACTACAAGTGCTTCTAAAACCTGCTCTCTACAGAAATGCTGTGGCTGGCCACTGATCCAGGGACAGCTTCACTTCATGACCCACACAACTTGAACCTCAGATGAAGAGGACTCTGGGGGACCATCATCAATCCAGCTCATGACACAGAAGGTTGCACCCACACAACTACTCACAACTGATGCTTCCGCTCAGCGCTGACTGCTACTCCAAATTTTACAGTGAGCCTGCTAGTTCACTGGAGACTTTTTCCCATTTTTAAGAGTGGTATTACAGCCACGAAAAGGTCTACTTCAAAAAGAGGAGGTTTTTTTTTAAAGTTATACATATGACAGAGGTATCTTTTGACTTCATGCTAAAACTTCCTGTTTAGGAGTTCATCAAGTAAACGAATACCAGTAGAAGAATGGTTCTCTTTGTTATCCAAAATTGAATTTTGTGGTTTTAGTAGGAAAAGCCTTTTTGATGATCAAAGCTGAAGCAATAAATAGTAGTGGCTTGATGCTAGATCCAAAGTGTACTTATTTTTGGAATGGGAGTTAAATGCACACTGAGCTCCTCCAGTAGACAGAAGAAAAGGCAGAGAAGACCACATACTTTGTGTATCATTTACCCAGACCTACATTTCAACCAGACCTATTAAATCAGCTGAAATGGAGAACAAACAAACTGAAACACGGCGGAAAGACTGGAGTCTAAGTGGGTTTTTTCCTTTTACCTCCCCGTGATGACAAGTATGGGTTAACTCCAGCAAAGCTCCTATCCTCTTTCAGCAATCTCCAGCACTGGGGAAAAATAAATCACACAGCCCCAGACTCTTATTAAAAGTTACACCACTGGAAACTACGCAGGGGGAGAGGAGGTTTCCGATTTCAGTACGATCTCGGTCACATGTTATCATTATATTGTTCAAGTAGAAGTTAAAAATCTCTTTTATTCCAGAAAACCCACCAGATGTGCCATAAAAGACTCTGCTGTGAGAGAAGCAAAAGCATCACATCCTACGGAGCCCCCGTTCCCCAACTCTGCTGCTAGAGTTAATGGCAATTATCAAGTTACAACAAAAAACCACGGGCACGGGGAGCTTTACGGACGTGGATCCAGCCCCAGGAACGTTCCCCAGGAATGGCAAACGTGGATTTATTACAGCACAAGCCTGGCTATCAATTGTTCCCCTGCCACGGACACTTGGCAGCACAACAGACGCGCGCCCGACCGGCACGCTGGACTCGGCACGCGGCAGCACTGGGGGGAGACCCACCCGACCCTGGCAGCACAGCCTTCAGGGAGAAGGGGGGAAAAACCCCCCAGGGACACGAGCCACCACCCCATGCCACGGTGCTGCCGTGCTGTTTCTATGCTCTTTTAAAGCTGGGTTTAAAATGGGTTTTAAAGATGGGCTTAAACGTCCCGAAGAAGCCGCAAGTCTCACCAAACCATCCATAAAGTCTTAGAGCAGAGACTGAGGGAAGCTGCAGCTAACAGAGCAGTACCCCAAGGGTCCCCTTCACCACCAGTGGCTCGCAGCAAACCCCATCCAAGCACTCAGCAAACTGGCAACTCGGTGCCCAAGTCCCACCCCAGCTGCTGGAGAAGGCACACAGGGCTTTCACCAGGACAAAGGTCTATCTTCATCTTAGCACCCAGACCATCAACTAGGTCATAACCTAATGCAGAAATTAAACCTGGTCCTATAGACAGGTCTCTCCTCTCCTCCATGCAGCCAGGCCCTGGCCTGTGACAGGACACCAGAGAAAAAAGGCATGAAACCATCACTGCAGCCAGAACCCAATGCCAAGCAAATGAAAGGCCCAACTCTCTACCTGCTTGCAGGTAAAACCACCCCAGGCCTTACAGAGCACCATTAAATGAATGAAAGGTTGCAGGGGTGGGGCAGAGCAAAAACCAGGCCCTAATTAAGCCAAGCTTTGTTCAGGAGCTTCAATGGCATTGTAGCTGGGAGCCCTGCTCATGAAAGCAGGGTTTGCACCACGGGGCCAGGACCCAGCAGGCAGCACAGGCTGGAAGGACCCAGCAAGCACCACCACAAAGCAGCGTTGCTGCAGACTGCCTCCCTGCTCCTCACTGTGTACAGCCCAGCCTCACGACAGCCCACCACCTCAGGGCTCAGGCAAGGTCTAGGTGGCTTCCACAAGTGGACACGTGTGGCCCCGTGGCCACCTCCCAAAGGTCCTCGCTTGCCCCTGCATGCTCATCCCACAGGCAGCACCTTACCACGACACGCAGAGCACAGACTGAACCAATCAACTCAAACAGCTCCCTTTTTTTCCCCCCTCCTTTTCACACCAAGAACATAAACCAAGAGGAGCTCCACAACCCCATCTCCTCCTTTCATTCCTGCCCCAGCCCAGGGCTCCCCAGCTCAGGCCACGCAAAAACATCTGCCAACATCTGCCAACCTGAGAAGTCTCCGGGCGTGACGTTGGGTGAGTTTGTAGCCTCTGTTTCAGTGTAAGACAACGTGGAATCTGATAGATCTGAAAAGAAAAAAAAGAAACAAAGTGTTTTAGTCTTGCTACGTGAGCACTTGTGGCTCTTCAGCTTCCCATCATCTCAGGGAGAGGAACCTTCCACTGGGCCAGAGAACAACGATTAACTCTGTACCTCCACCACGCAAACGCGGAGGCTGGATTGCTTCGACCACAAAAATAACTGCAGTTAAGTTGATCAAACAAGTAGGAACTTGGTGCTTACTGGATAAAGTTACATCAAGCCTCTAAACAACTCATAGTTACTATACTTAATTATCACCATTAAAATTCTTGAAGCTGTTTATTCTTGCTTCCTTCCTTCCTTCCTCTTTGCTGAAGCGAAGGAAACTTTGTTTTAACAAGTTAAGAGTCTTTGTTATTCTCTCTTGCTTACACCCCTCTAATTAAGTGCTCAACTGTTTGCTCACAGATTAACTATTATTTTTCCAATCAAACAAGCCAGTGAAGCAAATTTCAATCCCTGGCTGTTGTTTTAATAAAGTCACGTGCCGCTCACTATCATCTCTCCCTGCAGCACAAGCAGTTTCTAAAGGAAATTCACTTCCAAGGGGGAGTGTGAGGAAGGACAACTCCTTTTTTTTACCTCCCTACCTAACAAAGGAAAAAAAAAACCAACACAACCAGCCAATTTTGCCTTGCAGGACGCTCTGGTCGCTGCCCTGTGTCACGGCGATGGAGCCGGTCCCTCCGGCACGCACTGGGTGCACGACTGGCAGGGCAGGGACTCACCTTTGGCACGGGGCAGCTCCCGCCTCCCCTCGGGGCTGGGTGGGGCAGGCAGGCACGCTGCTGCCCCGCTCCCATCGCCCTGGCAAAGCCTGCCTGCCTCCTGCCTGCCTCACCTCCGTCCTTACCCCCTCTGTCAGGCAGAGCCACTGACTGCGGGGCAAAGGGCGAAATCCCACGCTCCAGGCGCAGAGCCACGGCTGCATGGATCCCAGCAAGGGAGCCAAGAGGGACGTGGCATTGCCCCCTTCCCTCCCCTGTCTCTCCTTCCCGTTTACTTGAGCAAGAAGCTGGCGCTGAGAGAGGACGGTGAGGATGCAGAGATGCCAATTCAAAGCATCTCCAAGCCAACGTGCACCACGCAGGAGCAGGATCCAAGGCTCTCCAGCAGCCTTCGCTGTGTGCCCAGCCCACCCACCCAAGCTGCTTTTGCTAGCTTTATTTTAGAAAGCTTTTGTAATTCATCAGGAAAAGTGAAACACCGTTTCTAAATTACACACCGCCGAGTTTCAAAGAGTTTACGTCTCGTTGTAATAAGCAGAGGAAGGGCAGGAGCCGGTTCCTCTGGGGCACAGCAGAGCCAGGGCTTTATGGAAATGGCACCCAGGAGCTCCCACTCCCCCTCCCCGCCGTCCTCCCGCAGATGACACACGCAGACACAACATGACGTCTGGGAACCTTTCATTACGCCTTCATTAAAAACAGGGCTTCGTGTTATTTTGGAAAAATCTGCATGTGTGTACACGGTAATTTGGTATGATAAACTGACAGCCATTTGCTTCTTCAAGCCCGTCAGCTGAGGCTTGCTCAGAAATAATGAGTGGCCATAAAAATCCCGACTTGTCGGCTTTGGGCTGATGTGCCACGTAGGGATGTCTCAGAACCGACACCAGGAGTGCCCCATGAAAGAGCTGCCGGGAGATCAAAAGAGAAAACACACGTACCCAGTGGCTTTTGCTCATCATTAGGAGACAACCGAGAGTAGGGAGGTGGTGGAGACTCTGCAAAGACAAAACCTCACGTTAGTGCTGTGTCCCGTTCACCAAGGAAACCCTCTCTTGCAGGGCAGGAACTCTTCCAAGGTTATAAACACCCAACAGAAGAAAACCCACTTGGAAACAACTCAAGAACCAAGAGTTCTCCAAATCTTTGGAGAGTGGGGGTTCCACTTTGACCTTTCAAAGTGGGCTTTACTACCAGAAATGCTGCAATTCTCCACAACACCCCCACCCCACATCCTTGCCCTGCCCCCTGTGCCCCAAAGCACATGAGATGGCACGTTGCACCCAAAGAATGATGCTTTCACCACCCGTGCTGAAGACAGCCATGGCTCCAACACATACATAGACTTTACAAAAGCTCCCCAAATACCACACTACAGCTGAAAAAGGATGTCAGGTGACAAAGCGACGCTCCTTTCTTGGCTAATGAAGCCTGGCACCACGAGCCAGGCTGGCTCTGGCACATCAGCCACCAAAATGAACTCTGGTCCGTTCCAATGAGCACCCCATGATCCCACAGCAGTGCTTGGCCTCTCCTGCCCCACTCCCACTGACCTCCATCCAGCAGAGCTCCCAAGCACACGCTCGGCTTTGAGCGGCAGCACATCACCAGTCATGCGCTTCAAGTTCAGCAAGTGCTCTGCTGGATCAGGTCATCAACTGGCTCTTGCTGTCCTTGGAAGTGTGAAGATCATGTAAAAGGCTGAGGAAGGTCTTCCATCAACTCTGTACCCTGGTCAGAGGGTTTATAATCCTTCTGAATTATGGTAGTGATGTGTTTCTTCAATTATAGCCTCCTAAATCTGAGGAGTGTGCAGCCAGCTGGGCTCTATCATGGCACCGGCAGCAGACACTGACCTCAAGTGAGGAATTGTCCCCAGAAGTCAATAGTGTCACAATGACTCCAGACAACTGACACAAGAGTGAGCTTGCTCCTCAGTTCCCACAGGGATGCAAGAACAAGTCACTGGGCCCAACAACAGCAGCTCAGCTTGGGTTAGTTCCTCAGGAACGACCTCAGCACTCCCTGTGGGACAGCCTGGGGTCACTTACTGCTTCTAAGAAAAGGTTCCTCATCTCCCCTAACCCAGCAAGCAGCACGATGCTCTTCAGAATCTGAAAATAAGAACTAATGGTGCCAATGTCTCAGTCTGGACACTAACGGCCCAACCTTCGCCTCACATCACGGGCTGGTGCAGGCTGG